AGCAACAGTATAAATGGAGTCTAACAGCTTTCGCATACATAACAAAAAACGAATCAAATGTATAGTCTTCATTGTATTACATTATTAAATATAACAAGTGTTTGGTGAAGCTACAAAAATGCAGTAACTCCTTGTGCCCAAACTCGCACAGTCTTACCCCTTAAAAGCACTGATAAGCTTTATTCATTTATTTTATATTTATTTATGTTTTGTTTTTTAGGGTTAAAGTAAAATGACTCCACTGGTCAGCTATAGTCCTGACCCCACATTACAGATCATGCGATGTGACTACTGGGGATGATGCACACAATGCGATCAGAGGCTAAAACGATATATTGTGCAGCTTATATTAATCAATTAATTTAAATATTTATTTATTTATTATTTTACAGGCCGATTGATTGCTTTCTTATAAACTAATCGCTTTAAAATGTAGATATTTGGACGAGAAACAAGGCATAAATCATAAACATTACATATAAACACAGTAATTAAATACAATTCTGTGGCTCCTGCTCGACTATAATTCAGACTCAACAAGATGTGACTATTGTGGACTCACACATTGCGATATCCATGCTGAAAACACACACTGAGCAATACTAAACTCAATAATTTCAAAGACATTTGAGCTCCAGAGTCACAAATATATCTAGAAGGACAGAATGAGGGGGGTTTGTGAGATCCACGGACCCTCATATATGAGGAGAACCAACAGCTGCAACAATCCAGAGAATATCAGCCTCTCACAGACACATTACTGACTTCCTGAGACGCCGCTAACTATTGTATTTTCCCCTTCAGAGGGAAAAACATATCTGTGCAGATGAGGTTGATGACATTAGCTGTGTTTCCACACACCTATTTTTATGCGCATTATGGAAAATTTCACTCCTGTGTTGGTGTGGGTTTCCTCCGGGTGCTCTGGGTTCCCCCACAGTCCAAACACATGCACTATAGGGGAATTGATGAACCAGTGTGTGTGTGTGTGAATGTGTATAGGGATGTTTTGCAGCTGGAAGGGGATGTGTTGTGTAAAACATATGCTGGAATCGTTGGTGGTTCATTCCGCTGTGGCGACCTCAGATAAATAAGGGACTAAGCTGAAGGAAAATGAATGAATGAAGGGAAAATTTCATTTAAAACTGCTTAATGGAAACTCTAAGGTGAGCTGAATTCTGAAAATGCGCCTTGAAAAACATATGAGCACATTTGAGCAGGGTAAACTTTAATCTGACATGTTGTTTTGGTCGTTTCTAAAACCCCTCAGTCAAAGTTCATCATCACAGTGCTTCAGTATTATTAGTATTATTACTATTATTATATTAATACCTCCAGAACTGTGAGCGACTGAGTAAATCTGTTGATTTTAAAGCGATTAGTTGACTTTACTTATAATAAGTGAGTAAACCTGTTGATTTTAAAGCGATTAGTTGACTTTACTTATAATAAGTGAGTAAACCTGTTGATTTTAAAGCGATTAGTTGACTCTACTTATAATAAGTGAGTAAACCTGTTGATTTTAAAGCGATTAATTGACTTTACTTATAATAAGTGAGTAAATCTGTTGATTTTAAAGCGATTAGTTGACTTTACTTATAATAAGTGAGTAAATCTGTTGATTTTAAAGCGATTAGTTGACTTTACTTATAATAAGTGAGTAAATCTGTTGATTTTAAAGCGATTAGTTGACTTTACTTATAATAAGTGAGTAAATCTGTTGATTTTAAGGCTATTAGTTGACTTTACTTACATAAAAGAGAGTGATCCCCTGGCTTTCTATTGCAAATAGTTGACTTTACTTAAAAGTGAGTAAACCTGTTGTCTTAAAATTAAGTAAATTAACTATGTGCAGAATTATAAAGTCAACTAATTGCTTTAAAAGCAATGGGTTTACTCAATTTTTATAAATAAAGTCAACTCATCCGTTGTTTTACAGTGTAGATTAACACATATGTGAGATCTGATGTTGGTCTCTTTTGTCAGCAAATCAGAGGCATTAAAGCATTTAAACTTAGAGTTTTTCAAAACAGCGACCCTGCAGAGTTAATCTGAGTTACTGACCCACAGTGGACGTCCCACCGAGGTGATCACAGACTAATCAGCCCTACTGAATCAGATAAGCAGAGAGTCCCCGGGGCCACAGAAGAATAGCTGTCTCATTCCTCAAGAGACGCAAGTCAAAACACACACATTTACATTCAGACACACTGCAGATAGCTGAACTCAGATATGCTAAACACATCCTTATCAAGGTGAGAGAGAGCCTTGATCATGCCAAACATGTGTTGCACATGACAGCCAGCAAGACCGAGTGTTTTTGTCTTTCAGATCCACACCCAGATACTCTTTCTGTGTGTTTCCAACCCACGCCTTCAGCTGCAGTCTGTTCAGAGGTCAAAACTAAACCTGAAGCGTGACTGCGGAGATTTCATCAGTGTGAACAGGCACTGATTCAGATCGCGAACCAGATTGGAGATTACATTATTTTTAATCTCAAAAAACCTTATGATTATAGACGAACTAACATGCAAATCAATACATTGCTTGGAGAGCCTGAAGTAAATGACACTCATGAATATTCAATCAATCAAAGCCCATCGTCAATTCTGAATTATTCAGTAAAACCTCTTTTGTTCTTAAACAGTATTAAAATTTAACTATTTAGATTTATGTTACCATACTATATAAGTACACATTTAAATATTATTATTATTATTATTATTGTCAGAAGTTTTAGTAGTAGTAGTATTAAATAAGACAAAGAAAATTAGCAAAAATAAATAAATGCATAGATTTAAAACAAATAACTTGAGCACTTAGAATACATGAAGTAAATGAAGCTCATGAATATTCAATTAGCCAAATCAAAGTCCTCATCATCGATACTAAATTATTAAGTAAAATTATCTTTTATCTAAATTTACGCTTGAATTACCATACTATATAAATACATATTTAAATACTATTATTATTATTATTATTACCATTATTATTACTGTTATGGTTATTATAAGTATTACTATTATTAATATTATTAATGTTGTTTTTATTATTAAATAAGACAAAGAAAATTTGCAAAAATAAATAAATGCTTGAATTTCCATACTATATAAGAACATATTTAAAAATTATTCTTTTTATTATTATTAAGATTATTAATATCATTACTGTTATGATTATTATTATCATTATTATTAGTAGTATTATTATTATTACTGTTATGATTACTATTATTATTATTATTATTACTGTTATGATTAATAATAATAATAATAATAATAATAATATTACTATTATATTATTATTGTTATGATTATCATTATTATTATTAAATAAGACAAAAAATTGCTAAATAAATAAATGCATAGATTTAAAACAAATAACTTGAGTACTTGGAATACATGAAGTAAATGAACCTCATGAATATTCAATTAGTCAAATCAAAGTCCTCATCATAGATACTAAACTAATAAGTAAAATTATCTTTTAATACTAAAATTAAACAGTACTAAAATTTAACTATTTAATTTTACGCTTGAATTACCATACTATATAAGTACATATTTAAATACTATTATTATTATTAATATTACTGTTATAATGATGATGATTTTTATTATTATTATTACTGTTATTATTATTATTATTATTATTAATTATATTATTATTATTATTATTATTGAAATATTGAATACAATATTTAAAAAAATATTTATATGTATATATAATTGTATATATGTATATAGTCATTACAATATAATATAATATAAAAATATATAATATAATAACAGTACGTATTGTTCATTATTCACTTTTGTTTACGTTTCTCCCCATTTGTTAGCATATAAATAAAGCAGATTTATAAACAAACCCTGTAGGCTAGAAAGTAAATGCGTCTGTATGTACTCCAGTAACTGGTTTATGGCAGAGTTAATGTAAACTGTGTGCAGCAATGTCCAGGAATAACCAACTATTACTTGAGAAAGTACTTCTGGCCAGTGGGGTGAAGATGAATTTTAGTAATATAATATAATATAATTAATATAATTAATATAATATAATACAATATAATATAATATAATATAATATAATTAATATAATATAATATAATATAATATAATATAATATAATATAATATAATTTTACACCCAGCATACAATGTACAGAGGGAAAAATAAGTATTGAACACGTCACCATTTTTCTCAGAAAACATATTTCAGAAGGTGCTGTTGACTTAGTGTTTACACCGGATGTTGGTAACAACCAAATAAATCCATATATGCAAAGAAAACAAAACTATTACGTTTACCAATGAAGTTCCGTGTCGTAAAATGAAATGACGCAGGGAAAAAGTACTGAACACATGAAGAAAGGGAGGTGTAGAAAGACATGGAAAGCCCGGACAGCAGCTGAAATCTCTCAGTAGTTCTTCAGCAACCCTCCGCCCTTCCTCAGTGTAACATTTTAGCAAGGCAATGATCCAAAACACAGCCAAGCAGCCTCTCAGATGCTTACAGAGAAAATCAAGCTGTAGAATGGCCCAGCCAATCACCTGACCTAAATCTAATAGAGAATACAAGATAAAGCTCAGATTTAATAGACGAGACCCACAGAAGCATCAAGATTTTGACACTGTCTGTGAGAAACTCACACTTGAGTAATGCATGTGCCTTCTATCTCCATATCAGAGGAGCCTTTAAAAAAGACTTTTATTTACAGTATTAAATACATTCCAGTAGTTCAGTACTTGTATTATTTCATTGTTATTACACAGAACTCACTTTTGTTTTGTTTTATTTCGTTTTTATGTTTGTATTGTTTTGGTTTCTACCAAAATCTGGTTAAACTCCATATCAACAGCTCCTTTATGAATATTATTCCCAGGAAATCAAAACAGGACCGTGTTCAATACTCATTCCCCCCACTGTATGCACTCCACTAACTGGTAATGTGAACTAAACAGTGTGCAGGAATGTCCAGTAATAACGAACTCTTACTTGAGAAAGTACTTCTGGCCGTTGGGGGTGAAGGCCATCTCCCACCCAGGGGGCAGCGGCAGCTCCTCGGCCACATCGCAGGACTGGTGCCGGGTGTGGGAGTGGAGTCTCCCGGGGCTCGGGCCGCTCACGGAGCCCGCCGGCAGCTGTAGGGACGCCGGAGATGAGCGCGAGCGAAAGTGGACCCTCGGCGGGAGAGAACCGGAGTCCGCGCTGGACTGCCGGGAGTGGGAGCCCGAGTCCGGCTCCTGGAAGAAAGACTGCGGCATATCCTTGTTCCTCCAGGAGCTCGGTTTCGGGTTCATGACCGAGTTAAAAAGAGCCTCCAGATCCGTGTCCAGGTCTTTGGCGACATGGATCACCTGGTGGCCCGGTATCGGCTGGAGAGGATTACCGCTCATGGTCAAAACAAACTTCGATTAAAATGGCCGATGGAAAAAAAAATTCCTGTAGGAACTTTTCCTGTTTTTCGTCCTTAAGTAGTTTCAGCCGAGTTGAAAAGTGTTTGTAAGTCGTCGAAAAGTTGTCATAAAGCTAGAAAGGCGTTTGTCATGTTGTCCCGCGTGGAGTTTGGAGAGTTTTTTGTTCCTCCTGCGTCCGATCGCGGAGTTTCTGAAAGTTTGTAAACTCAAGCCTCTCTCTCTCTCTCTCTCTCTCTCTCTCTCTCAGTCTGAGCGGCTCCTGTGTCTGTCTGTCAGTTTATGAATATTCAATCACGTCTCCAGCCCCTCATGAATATTCAATGAGCCAGTTATGTACGCTTTCGTTCATAAACAAAACGCAACGATGGATGTTCGGCATTGGAAGTTGACGAATACGTTTTTCAAACATACCAACATTGAAGAAGTCTCCTACAAAATGTCTAGAATTTATCCTGCTTAACACGTTTTGAAAAAAAAATACTTAATGTACCAGATTTATATGTGTGAGTTAAATGTAATTCAGTTCTGTTGTTAATTATCTGTGTATAATATTTAGTGTATTCCTCTGTTTAAATAAAAAAAAATTAAAAAAAAATGGATTTTACAGGGTTAAGTAACTGATAGGCTAAACTTTTATTTTGTTTTTTATTTTGTTATTGTTTTGATTCGCAGTGTTGCTGGCATACAGATTATTACACACATCTAAACATTTTTTTTTAAATAAATTATATCTACTTGGCGATTTGAATTTGTTCTTGAATTGCCATACTACTACTACTACAAAAATATATATAGGCTAAACTTTTATTTTGTGCGTGTATATATATAGTTTAAAATAGTATTATAGATTTAATATTAGATTTAAAAGCTTATTTTAAAATAAGATAAAAATGAATGCATATATAAACACTACATTTTTCCCATTAAATATTAGTAATATTGTAATAACATAAATTAAATAAAGTTTAAAAATAAATAAGATTAAAAACAATAATTTGGTCCCATTATAGACAACAGTTACTTTGTTATTGTTGATATAACACACATCTAAACATTTTATTTAAATCAGTTATATCTAGTTGGCGATTTAAAATAGTTCTTGAAGTACCATACTATTAAAATATTAATATTAGTATTAAATATTAGTAAGTTACATTGTAATAATATGTTAAATAAGACAAAAGAAATAAATGCATACATAAAAAAATATAAATTTCTCCCAATAAATATGAATAACATTGCAAGTATATAATAAATAAGACAAATGAAATAAACACATACATAAAAAATATTAATTTGTCCCAATAAATATTAATAATATTGCAATTATATGATAAATAAGACAAAGGAAATAAACGCATACATAAAAAAATAGTAATCTGTCCCAATAAATATTAGTAATATTGTAATTTTATAATAAATAAGACAAATAAAATAAGCGCACACATATATTTTTTAATTTGTCTCAATAAATAATAATAATAATAATATTGCAATTACATGTTAAATAAGATAAATAAAATGTATGCATACATAAAAAACCATTACATTATAGACGGCAATGAGCGTTAACTCCGCTAACAGGCTAAACTTTTATTTTGTTATTGTTTTCAACCGCAGTGTTGTTGATTTGCAGATTTTAACACACATTTAAACATTTTATTTTGTTAAATTATATCTAGTTGGTGATTTAAATTAGTTATTGAGTTACTACACTACTAAAAATATTATTAAATGTATTAGTATTAAATATTAGAAAGAGTTACATTGCAATTGTATGATAAATAAGACAAACGAAATAAATGCACACATAAAAAATATTAATTAAAGGAAATAAACACATAGATGAAAAATATTAATTTGTCCAAAAAAATATTAGTAATATTGTAAATTACATGATAAATTAGACAAAGGAAATAAACGCATACATAAAAAAAATATTAAATAATCCCAATAAATATTAATAACATTGTAATTATATGATAAATAAGACAGAAAATAAAAGCATACATAAAAAAGGAATAAATTGTCCAAATAAATATTAGTAATATTGTAATTATATGATAAATAAGACAAAGGAAATATTAATTTGCCCCAATAAACATTAATAATACTTTAAATTTATGATAAATAAGAAAAAAGAAATATTTGTATTAGTAATATTGTAATATATTATTACAATATACAACACAATATAATATATTAGTAATAATATGTAATATTTGCTAATATAATAACATATAATATCCAATATAATATATTAGTAACGTTGTAATTATATGATAAATAAGACAGGAAATAAACGCATAAATAAAAAAAAATATTAATTTGTCCCAATAAATATTACTAATATTGTAAATATATGATAAATAAGACAAATAAAATAAACACATACATAAAAAATATTAATTTGTCCCAATAAATATTAAAAATACTGTAATTTTATGATAAACAAGACAAAGGAAATATTTGTATTAGTAATATTGTAATATATAATATATAAATTATGTATGAGTATTAAATATTAGTAAGTTACATTGTAATTACATGTTAAATAAGACAAAGAAAATATATGCATGTACAAAATACACAACATTTGTCAATTAAATATTAGTAATATTGTAAATACATGTTAAATAAGATAAAGAAAATTCATGCATACATAAAAACAATAGTTCTGTCCTATTATAGAAAACAATGGGTGTTAACTCCGCTGATAGGCTAGACTTTTATTTTGTTATTGTTAATATAAAACACATCTAAACATTTTAATTTCATGAATTATATCTTGTTTTAATTAGTTCTTAAGTTAGTATTAAATAGGGCTGCATGGTGGTTCGCCTCACAGCATGAATGTCGCTGGTTTGAGCCTCAGCTGGGTCAGTTGGTGTTTCTGTGTGGAGTTTGCATGTTCTCCCCATGTTGGCGTAGGTTTCCTCCGGGAGCTCCGGCTTCCCCCACAGTCCAAACACATGCGCTATAGGGGAATTAATGTGTGTGTGAATGAGAGTGTATAGGTGCTTCCCTATGGCTGCTTTGCAAAACATATGCTGGAATAGTTGGCGGTTCATTCTGCTGTGGCGACCCCTGATAAATCAAACAACTGAGCCAACAATAAAACAAGCTATTGAATGAACACTTGAGCTTTGGTTTGCTCTGCTCATTAATGAACGCTGTTTTCAGATCAGATGTGGGTCAGATGTGTGTGTTTTCAGCCGTCATTCAGGTCAGATGACAGACATACACACCTCTTGATAATCACTGCAGACTGGACGCTAAATAAGGACTAAATAATTACAGCGAGTCATATAATTGTACATAATTACATTCAAAAGAATAAGAAGCCTTGGAGAAAACAATTAACCATATATATACAATTTCAGTTCTAATATACAATGTACACTCACCGGCCACTTTATTAGGTACACCTTACTAGTACCAGGTTGGACCTGCTTTTGCCTTCAGAACTGCCTTAATCCTTGGTAGCAAAAATTCAATAAGGTACCGGAAATATTCCTCAGAGATTTTGCTCCATGATAGCATCACAGTTGCTGCAGATTTGTCGGCTGCACATCCGTGATGCCAATCTCCCGTTCCACCACATCCCAAAGCTGCTCTATTGGATTGAGCTCTGGTGACTGTGGAGGCCATTTGAGTACAGTGAACTCATCGTCATGTTCAAGAAACCAGTCTGAGATGATTGAGCTTTATGACATGGTGGGTATATATATATATATATATATATATATATATATATATATATATATATATATTCTACTTAATAATTATAATAATTATTATTATAATCATTAACAATAATAATTAATAATAATCAATAATAATAATAATAATAATATCACTTAAATTAGTTAAAATTACCTTTTTAATTAAAAAGTTTAACATTTTAATGAGATGAATTGTTGGTGATTGTTTGGGTTTTGGCCAGATTGGGTGGCAATACATGAACGAAATAAAATTAAGACCTGTTTAAAATAGATTTAAGACCTACAACACAATATTTCAGTAAATTTAGGACTTTTTAAGGCCTAAAATTTAGATTTTGGGATTTAAGACATTGTAATAGTTTTTAAAACCCAGCGGAAACCCTGATAGGGCATGATATTGAGTAATAAAACACTCTCAGATTTGAGTGTCAAAATGTTTAATTGTGAACTACCCCTTTAAGGCACCTGCTAATACATGTGACGTGAACGATCCAACACTGCACTGATTCCCTTCTGTATGAGTCCTGCGCACCATTCCGCTCATCAGTAATGGCTCAGAATCAGAATCGGATCTTTGATTATGAGATATGGTGTGGAGTTCGGCTCTTCGTGTATCTTCGTGTATCTGGCATTATTTAATGTTTCTCAGGATGCGACGGCAGTGGTTGCTCTTGAGTTCTGCCAGCGCTCTCTCCAGCTCCTGAATGAGGTGCTGTAGTGTTGCGGGATCCGTCTGCAGGACATGAGCGCTGCGTTTCGCCCCATCCTCCAGGTGGAGTTTCATGGTGACGGTGGGCTTCACCTGATGCCGAAGAGCCCGACTGGCAAGCTGAAATGACCAAACACACATGAGCGATTCCAGCGTTATGGATGTGACGTTTGCAGTAAAAACCCAAAATATAAACTCACAGAGGGAGTATATGTTCACATTATATTGAGTCATCTGTATATTATCTCCACAACTACTAAGCACAGTTCTGGGATCAGAGAAACATCAGCCTGTAAACATGTTTAATATTGTAAATGAGGGGAATAAACATGCCTTATGGATGACGTGAGCAGAAAAGTCTGTGAGTTCACAGTCTACAACATACTGTGTAGAAATGGAGTGAATAGCCGTGTTTCCACTAGCCAGGACGAGCCAAGGCCAGACGCGTTTCCACTGTCACCTCCGCAGCCTGATCAGGCCAAAGCAGGGCTTTCTCGGGGCCAGCGAGTATACCTTGGGCTAATGAGGGCCAGCTGAGACTTCAGGGCGGAGTGAAAGTAGAGGCGGCACTAGTTTTCCGATCGCACACGAGTACATGCACCAAACAAATAAATAAATAAGGGAAAGAAAACATCTAGCTTTACAGGCTGGGCTCTTTTTGCGTACGATGGCCGTCACATAAAATAATTTAGTTTTAATTTATAGTGTATAAGTGATGCAGATGTGCATAAAATATAGCTTCTACACTTTCAAACAAAACCACTTAAGGGGGTCTGGTGCAATGCGAGCCCTTTAAATCTTAAAGTGAAAGTCGATGACGTCATCATGAGTTTAACTGGTTAAATACATAAACAGCTTCATTAGTGAAATGCCGCTGAGCGCAACGAAATACAGGCTATTTTATTCCTTGCTCTTATGTGCTGAAATACTGAACACTTTATTTAAAGAGCCCATATTATGGGTTTTTGAAAATTCCCCTCCATGTAGTGTGTAACACAGCTCTAAGTGAAGTGAAGTATCCAGCTAAGGCTTAAATCTGTAAGAGTACAGTGTTTAAAACGGTTGATTCATCTAAAAAAAGAGTCGACTCATAGTGCTTCAAACGAGTCGCCTTGATACCGAGTCATTAGGTGTTTCGCCATGACGTACGAACGAAACCAAGTTATTCACGTGCACGCGCAAACCCGGGAGATTTCAAACCTGAGGCCCCGCCCTCTGACGCAGAAACCCAGACACACACACACACACACACAAACACACACACACACAAACATGCCAGTCGATTGAAGTCACACTGCAGATGGATATATTGAGTCTCTACCCAAAGATGAAACATCAGCATTATAACCAAGCAGTTGGAAACTTCTGCAAGCTACATGCTACAAAGAATACTTCATCAGCGTTTGTTAAAGGAAGGATCAGTAAAGAGTAACTTACTGCTGGACGTCAGGATGGGTTTCTTCCTCCCTTTCTCAAGTGTAATTAATTACGAGCGATTAAAGTTGTTGCCTCGTTGACTCTAGCTTGCAAATGTATTTAGTTGTGATTTGTTACTTGTAACCGCGTGTGCTGTATCAGGTTAACTGGCTATATTCTCTTATCGCGTGCAAAGTCACGTTAAAAACGCGACGCGTGCTGCTTTGTTTATGGAGCTCCGTGGACGAGGGTAGTGTGTGTGTGCGTGCGCGCTGTCGTCTGGAGGTATGTGTGTGTGTTTGTGTGTGTGCGCGCACGTGTTGTCGACCGGAGGTGTGTGTGTGTTTTTGTGTGTGCGCTCTCGCGCAAGAACGAGGGCAATTTGTGTGTGTGTGTGTCTGTGAAAAGAGCAGAGTGAGACAAACTATGTGATCTCCTCGACAGTTTTTGGAGTTTTTGCTCAATAAAATAGTTAATCGTCTGAATTTTCAAGTCCATAGTCTGTATTTACATTGACCCACTGGCAGCTAAAATCCACGCCTACACTATGGAGCGTGTATGAACTGTGATTACTTTTATATTGCTGATTAGCTGTTTGGCTTTTCACTCTGACTGAAGGCAGTTGACCAATCGCAACAGACTGTCATTGGTCCAATCAGCGCAGATTAGCTTCGCGCTAAGGAGGGGTTTGGGAACAAATGAATCACTGGACGATTCATACAGGAGTCGCTGGGATAATTAGGTAAAAATAAATGCAGATTATAAGACCATGAAAGTGTTTTTTGACCTTGCATGTATATTAAACTGTTGTTGGAGACCCTTACAACCAAGATATGACCCTATTTCATGTATAATATGGGCTCTTTAAGATCACAGAATAACATCGTTAAATAAAGGGGAATCCCCTATTGAGTGTCATATAGCCTATAAGGAAAAATATGTTTCAGGTCTCTCCTGAGCATTTGGGCTGAATGTTTAACAGTGTCTATGTGAATGAGGATGTTTTAAAATACAGTTATTAGCGGAGAATTTCTGTGGTGTTATATCATGGATGGTGCACTCCCTGCGCTGGCGAGACCACTCGATGTTTGATGCCAACAGTTGGTCGGCGAGTAAATGAATATGAATGAGGACACACAGGCCTGTGCGTGTAGACATATCATGTACTGCTGAACAGTAACGGGTCATTTGTTGGTGTCGGTTGTCTTTATTTGAATTGTTTCGCGATGACAACTAAATTGACCACAGTGTATTAGTGTGAATGAGTGTGTGTGGGTGTTTCCCAGTACTAGGTTGCAGCTGGAAGGGCATCTGCTGTGTAAAACATATGCTGCAGTAGTTGACGGTTCATTGCGCGTGGTGACCTCTGATCAATAAAGGACTAAGCCGAAGGAAAATGAATAAATGAATGATAAATAAAATGTATTAATTTCTGCAAGCATCCTCATTTTACCGCATTTTTACAGGAGAACACTTTGAACAGTACTGCAGCTGTTATGTTGTTGTTTTTTTAGAGGTGTTTTGACACTTGAATGACCGAATAAAACTCTTACCTGCACGTCGAGTCTCCACTCCAGGTTGTGGTACTGTGGGATGCTGGGGGCGAGTTTACTGAGGATCTGCCGAATCTCCTTCCTGTTCTCCAGGTAGAGCTGCAGCAGGAGATCATTGAGCTGCTCAGGGAATCCCAACACCAGCACTGAGTCCTGGAAATCCAGCTCACTGATCTAGAGAGGCAGCGGAGAAACATGGAGAGATTCACTCATGCAGAGCAACAGCGGAGAAACACTTTCACTAAACGATATCATATAATGAATCAATTACAAAAGTGTTTTTAATTTAAGGTTTTCAAATATTATAAAGAAATAATAAATATTGCAAAAATATTACACATACCGGCCACTTTATTAGGTACACCTGTCCAACTGCGCGCAAATTTCTAATCAGCCAATCACATGGCAGCAGCTCACTGCATTTAGGCGTATAGACATGGTCAAGAGGATCTGCTGCAGTTCAAAGCGAGCATCAGAATGAGGAAGAAAGGGGATTTAAGTGACTTTGAACGTGGCATGGTTGCTGCTGCCAGACGGGCTGCTCTGAGTATTTCAGAAACTGCTGATCTACTGGGATTTTCACGCACAACCATCTCTAGGGTTTACAGAGAATGAGGAAATATCCAGTATTGGAAATATCCAAATGCCTTGTTGAGGCCAGAGGAGAATGGCCAGACTGGCTCCAGCTGATAGAAAGGCAACAGTAACTCAAATAAGCACTCGTTACAACCGAGCTCTGCAGAAGAGCATCTCTGAACACACAACACGTCCAACCTTGAGGCGGATGGGCTACAGCAGCAGAAGAGCACACCGGGTGCCGCTCCTGTCAGCTAAGAACAGGAAACTGAGGCTACAATTCACACAGACTCACCAAAACTGGACAATAGAAGATTGGAGAAACGTTGCTGCTCTGATGAGTCTCCATTTCTGCTCACACATTCGGATGCTCGGCTCACAATTTGGCCTCAACAACATGAAAGCATGGATCATCCTGCCTTGCATCAGCGGTTCAGGCTGGTGGTGGTGGTGTAATGGTGTGGGGGAGATTTTCTTTGGGTCCATTAGTACCAATTGAGCATCAACGCCACAGCCTACCTGAGTATTGCTGCTGACCATGTCCATCCCTTTATGAGCACAGTGTCTCCATCTTCTGATGGCTACTTCCAGCAGGATAACGCAGCATGTCATAAAGCTCAATCATCTCAGACTGGTTTCTTGAACATGACGATGAGTTCAATGTACTCAAATGGCCTCCACAGTCACCAGAGCTCAATCCAATAGAGCAGCTTTGGGATGTGGTGGAACGGGAGATTGGCATCATGGAGGTGCAGCCGACAAATCTGCAGCAACTGTGTGATGCTATCATGACAATATGGAGCAAAATCTCTGAGGAGTATTTACAGTAGCTTGTTGAGTTTATGCCACAAAGGATTAGGGCAATTCTGAAGGCAAAAGAGGGTTTAACCTGGTACTAGTAAGGTGTACCTAATAAAGTGGCCGGTGAGTGTGCGTATATGTTAGAATAAAAAATAATAAACATTCAAATCAAATAATAAATTTTTGACATTTATGTTTTTAAATATAATACAATAAAGAAATAACATTATATCATGATAATTATTTTTAATTTAATGTTTTTAAATATAATAAACATTTTTGAATAATAAAGAAATATTAAATATTTTAATAAATATAATATTCTAATACTGCATATTTTTATTTAATGTTTTTCACTGTAATACACAATTTTGAATATTATTCAAGAAATAATAAACATATTAAAACATTAATAATGAATATTTGATGATAGATAATAATAAACAAATCTAGCTCCACATTATATAAATCATAGGAGTAATCATCAGGATGTAGAGACGCACCATGAGTTTGGAGCTCTCTGTGAGCAGAAACATCAAACCCTCAACACCATGCTGGACGCTTTCAGACGACACACTGAGCTTTCCTACAACACAAAACAACATCAGCTCACAAACAGCACAGTGTTTTACTCTTTAACCACAGTACAAACGCAAAGCTCTACTCACGGGCAGCTCCTTCATAGATTTTAGGGTTCGAGCCCTTTTTCAGAAACTCCACAGCAATTCGGCCGAATTCACCAACGACTGCCAAACAAAATCCACATTATGGTGATTATATCTGTGTGTGTGTGTGTGTGTGTGTGTGTGTGTGTGTGTGTGTGTGTGTGTGTGTGTGTGTGTGTGTGTGTGTGTGTGTGTGTGTGTGTGTGTGTGTGTAATATTTATTTTCAAAATATTTAATGTATTATTATTTATTTTATAATTATTATTATTATTATCATCATTTAAGGTTTTTGAATTTAATAAATATTTTGAATAATAAAGAGAAAAACATTTTAAATAATAATAATAAAATATATTTTAATTTAATGTTTTTAAATATAATAAATATTTTGAACAATAGAGAAATTTTTTAAAGAATAATAATAATATTTCTTTTAATTTAAAGTTTTTAAATATGATAAACTAACGATATTATACACATTGCATTAAATATAATACATATTTTGTATTTAATGTTTTTAATATAAACATTTTTTAATAATATTTTAACAATAAAGAAATATTAAACATTTTTAAATAATAATAATAATAACAACAACTGCCAAACAAAAACACACATTATATATATATATATATTTATATATATATATATATATATATATATATATATATATATATATATATATATATATATATATATAAATTTAATGTTTTTGAATATAATAAATATTTTTGAACAATAAAGAGAAAAACATTAAAGAATAATAATATTTCTTTTAATTTAATGTTTTTAAATATACTAAACTAAAGATATTTTACATATTGTATTAAATATAAAAATACATATTTTTAATCTAATGTTTTTAATATAAACATTTTTAAATAATATTTTTAACAATAAAGAAATAATAAACATTTTAAAGAATAATAATAATAATAAATATAAATAATGTAATGTTTTTGAGCATAATAAAAATTTTATAATTATTTTTGAATAATAAAGGAATAATAAATATTGTATTTACCATAATATATTATTACATTCACCAATTAATTCACCATCGACACAGTAAATCACACATTTTAGTCATTATATCTCAGTATATAACTGCTACATCACAATTAATATTATATATGTAGAACATCTACATGTTAAAGGAATAGTTCACAACAAAAAATTACAATTCTGTCATTTACTCTGCTTTTACTCGTTTCAATTTTTGAGTTTCTTTCGTCTGTAAAACACAAAAGAAGATATTTTTAGGAATGTTGGAAACCAGTAACCATTGATTAACATGGCATTTTTCCTAGTATAGAAGTCAATGGTTCAAAACATTCTACATTCTATATATATATATATATATATATATATATATATATATATATATATATATATATATATATATATATATATATTTGGTGGAATTATCCTTTTTGTTTGTAAAACACTCTAGGATATTGTGGTAAAGTTGGTTTTATATTCGCATATTCCTTCATTTGATGTTCCCCATATTAACTACTACGCTAATTTGAATATAGGGTCTGAAATCACATGTAAACATGACTTAAAATTAACATTAGCACTATTTAATTGACTGTGAATAATGTTGTACTTTTATATTCATTGGCTGCTAATATGATTTCATTCATTCATTCATTCTCTTTTTAGCTTAGTCCCTTTATTAATCCAGGGTCGCCACAGCGGAATGAACCGCCAACTTATCCAGCAAGTTTTTTTTTACGCAGCGAATGCAGCCACAACCCATCTCTGGGAGATTTCACGATTTAAAGATTGCAAATAATCCTTTTCTAAAATAAAATTAGTAAGGAGAAAGTCTGAATGTGAATACCTCTGTGAAGATGAGTAAATAATGAGTAAATACTTATTTTTGGTGGAAATTTCCCTTTAAATACAATATACAGTTCGTTTTTTCCGTCTTTTGTACATTTAAACATAAAAATAAGCATTTTATATGTTAAACACACATATATTAAGTTACAAATGACTTTAATTACGAGTAATTGAGATTAACCACAGACAAATAAACAATGTACGTAAATGTACTATGTGAAATAAGCGGTAAATTTATTTTATTGAGAAATAAGCGTCAAAATAGGCTTTTGGTAGACTTTTAAACGTTACAACTTATATAAAGAATGTATTTCTTGGCTTATAAAACACAGAAACACAAACAAAACGTGAATATTTTTGTGATTTGCAGTTGTTGTTTTTTGCATCACTTACCCGCAGGATCTACTTCCGATAGGAATCCTAAATGTTCCTTGTGCTCCTCGGATAAAACCAGCAGCATTTTAAACACTTTTAACACACCGTCACATACAATTAACAAAGCATCAGGTTATATTTGTCAATTAAATATTTCTCGGTGAAGATTGTTCTGCATTTAGTCAGATGATCAGCTGTGCGCGCTTCATTACAGTCCGACTGAAAACAAACACATGCAATGGTTCCGCTGCACATCCACAGAGAGCGAGAGAACAAACGCTTTTCTCAATATTTGACATACAGTTTATTTATCATAACATATGAGTGACATATCTAAAAGGTGATGATTCTTATTTTTATTTATTTTAGTTTAATCATTTTTAATCCATTCAGCTGAACTCCTGGTCGGCAGGAGCACTTTTAGCTTAGCTTAGCATAAATCATTGAATCAGATTAGACCATTAGCATCTTACTTAAAAATGACCAAAGAGTTTTGATAATTATACCACTTAAAGCTAGCCTCTTATGTAGTTACACAGCCTACTAAGAATGAGGGGAAATCAAAAGTTGCTATTATCTTCTTTAATATTTTGAGCAAGATGCTAATGGTCTAATTTGATTTAATAAAAAAAGTGGTGTGTTTCTTTAACATCATAATTGTTTTAAACTATACAACATAACAATGTAAATGGTATATTCTCTGTGTTTGGCCACACACCAAATGAAAGTTTTTCTGAGAGACGTCAAGCATCTTGCTGTATTTTGAGGGTCTGGGGATGAGGAAGCGCCTGGCACTGATGTCTGAAAACGATTGATCTTTTCAGGGTTGGGACTCCACACTGTGTTCAGCTGGCAGGATTTCCTCTGGACTCGTCCTCCCACATGCCCTGATCCTGAAGAAACTCTGCCTGGATTTCGGAGGAAGCAGCTGTGGCATCACTGATGCATTCTGGGAGGGTTTAGCCAGACGAACGCAGGAAGATCCCACAGGACATGATGTCATTAGGAAACCACAGGATGATGCTTTGACCTCTGTGCAGTGGGGGAAATAAGTATTGAACACATCGCCATTTATCTTAGAAAACATACTTCTGAAGGTGCTGTTGACTTGGTATTTCACCGGATGTTGGTAACCACCATAAGAAATCCATATGCAAAGCAAACAAAAGTAATTTGTTTACAAAAGTTTTCTGTAATAAAATGAAATGACGCAGGGGAAAAGTATTGAACACATGAAGAAAGGAAGGTGTAGAAGGACATAGAAAGCCCAGACAGCAGCTGAAATCTCTCAGTAGTTCTTCAGCAACGCTCTGCCCTTCCTCAGTGTAAATGAACATCAGCTGCTTCAGTCCAGCATCTACATTAGCAGGAGGATGAAGATGAACCCATTTCAGCAAGACAATGAGCCAAAACACAGCCGAGGAGACTCTCAGATGCTTTCAGAGAAAGAAAATCAAGCTGTAGAATGGCCTAGCCAATCACCTGATCTCAATCCAATAGAGAATACAAGATAAAGCTCAGATTTAATAGACGAGACCCACAGAAGCATCAAGATTTTGACACTCTGTTGACGTCTGTGAGAAACTCACACTTGAGTAATGCATGAGACTTCATTCTCCATATGAGGCGTCTTTAAAAAAGACTTTTATATACAGTATTAAACACATTCCAGTAGTTTAGTACGAGACGAGACCCACAGAAACATCAAGATTTTGACACTGTTGACGTTTGTGAAAAACCCACGCCTGAGCAATACATGTGCCTTTATTCTCCATATTAGAGGCGGCTTTAAGCTGCAGCACCAAAAAAGTCTAATATATAAAGTATTGAATACATTCTAGAATTTAAATGCCCTAAATAACTGATAGCTCCACCCTAAATGACTGATCGCTCCGCCCTAAATGACTGATCGCTCCGCCCTAAAGGACTGATAGCTCCGCCCTAAAAGACTATTAGCTCCACCCTAAGGTATTTCATGTGACCAGGAAGTGAAAAAAACTCATTTTGAGGGAGAGGGAGCAAGAGTTATGGTATTTGATTATAGTTCATGAGGGCAAATTAATTATCACAAAATAATGAAGTGCACAGTAACATTGTTTATAACAATAACTACTATATACACATAAAAATAAGAAGAGTAAATGTTGATTAAAGGGACCGACAGTCCAGCCAAATTGAAGACTGTCATTATTTACACAGCCATGTTCAAAACCTATTGGTACCAAAAAATAAGATACTTTGCAGAATGCTGAAACCTGTAACCATTGATTTCCATAGTATTTGTTTTTCCTGTGAAAGTAATAAACAGGTTTCAGCTTTCTTTAAAATACCTTTTTACTGTGTTTAACAGATTAAAAAACGGATCTGGAACAAGTAAAAGTAAATGATGACAGGTTTCCTTTTAGGGGTGAACTGGCCCTTTTGATTTGACCACATTTTAATTTAAAGCACACGCCTGCCACCCACTGGTGATAACTGGCAACTACAATACATGTTTGAAACGAGCTGAAACCTGTAATCATTCACTTTCATATTAGGAATGAACGATTTAACTAATTGTTAAAGAATTGAATAAATAACTCATTGTAAATGTAAGAGCAGATATCATCATACATCAGATACCATATGAGAAATGACAGTTTTACAGGATTATATTTAAAAAATAACAGGGATATAATGTCTATGGGT